CGCTTCGATTATTGTGGGGATGGTTGCCGTGGGCGTTGATATTCATTGCCTCAAATCTTCTTCTTTGATCTTCCTCGGCAGAATTGTCATACTTCAGCGAGGTGGTGGAAGTTTTCCATCTGGGAGCTCCCTGGCTCCTGTGATCCATCCCAGATCCACTAGGTGGGCCGTAGTCTTCGCGGCTCATGGAAGGAGGTTCTGGTAAACCAGGTCGACCTCTAGAGGGAAGCGATGGTCGATGGTTGCTCTCGTCATCGAATTGCTCGTTATCATAACGGTTAGAATTGGAGGACGCGTTGGCAGTCCTTCTGTTCGCATTTGCTGGAGGGATATCGCGGATGCCATACGAAAGACTTGAAGGCTGTCTCCTTTCCCTTTGATTCTTTGCTTTCGCATTCCCCCGACTGCGGTCCTCCTGGTCTTCGTCGTCATATGCTAAGCCGCTGTCTTCATCTTCATCTTCATCGTCCTCGTCGTCATATTTCCTCCTCGCAAAAGCCGACCCAGGCCTTGAGCGTTCCTTGTCTGGTCCCTGCCGATTTTTCCTGGCGTTCCTTATTTGCATCTCTCTCTCTTCGATGGCACTGAGCGACCTTTGATGCCTGATCGACTTGGAGCTAGGAGCAACAGACTCTCCCTTCTCAACGAAACTGCTGCCTCTATCGTTCTTTCTCGGAATCTCGACCTCGTCCCTTCTTAGAATGCGCTTTCTCGGTGTATTCCCATATCCGTCATCGCCTTCCTCCTCCGCATCCAACGCTTTTGGTCTAATATTTTTCAGACCCCTTGAACTTCCGATTGGCGATATATCCTCGTAGCCAGCGTAAGGGTCGACGCGGTCTTTCAGCCGAAGGACTTTGCGTGCCCGTGGAGCCGCTTTGCGAGGAGTTTCGTCATCCTCCTCCTCGTCTTCCTGATCGTACTCGTACTGATCTTGAGAGTAAGCTTGACGACCTCGACTATGACTCCTAGTCCGGGCCTTTCGTCTCTCTTCGTCATCGTTTGCAAGAGGTTGACTATAATGTCTTCGATGTTCCATGCGCGGCGGTTGCGGTTGTGCACGTCTTGAAGGGATGTGGTATCTTGGGTCTTCACCTTCGTCTTCATCTTCTTCTGTAGTCTCCTCTTCTTCACCATCTTCCTCCGTTTCTTCTGTCTCCTCCTCTTCTGTAGAAGTTTCTGGTTGATTTCGTCGTCTGGCAGCTAGTTTGGCACCGGAATTGTATGCGCTGGCGCCTCTAGCGTAGGAACTCGGAGCAGGATACTGAGAAGTCTGAGATAGGGGCTGTTGGTAGTAGACTTGCTGTTTTGGAGGGGAGCGCTGATTATGGGCGCTTGTTTGAGGTACACCTTTGACCGGTGATGTCGATACACTCTTCCTCTTTTTCATCAGCTTGTTCCCGCCATTCTTGGTCGGACTAATTCCAGAGTTTTGGACCGTTGAAGGCGTGGCTGCGGTAGTAGGCTGTGCTCTTGGCTTGGGATGCGGTTCTGACACCATACCAGCTGCAAAACCCCAAACCGGTGCGGGAACTTCTGGGATCGTGCGTTTCCACATTGGCGTGAATTTCTTGGAAGAGCCTTCAGTTGCATTTGCCATTGTGGCAGACGATAGTGGATATGATTGCGAAACCATCTGGGGAGGGTTTGCGGCCGATCCGGAGCCTGAAGACAATGCTGCATTCCGAGCCTGCGTTAAGGCAGGTGTCGGATTTGAGTTCAACTTGCCCCAAGTACTCGGTGTAGACTCTTTGACAGGGCTACTTGAGCTAGAACCTGGTTGTGATGCGGAATTGGGTGTGAATCGAGGGGGGCTTGCACGACGTTTGGGTGCGGATGTCGCTCCGGACGTTGTGGCCGTGTTTGTCGAAGAGTTTGTTCGATTGACAGAATAAATCGAAGTCCTCGACGATCCAGGTGTTGAAGCAACATTCCTGCTGTTATCTGTAGATTTCGAGGGCGATCCAAGAGATGGAGGCGTGGGGAGTGCGGCAAAACCCGACTTTGTAGGGCTGTTACTTCCTGAAGTTGAATTGCCAACATAACTGAAGCCAGACGAGGACGGTTTTCCTAGATCAATAGTCGCACGCTTATTGGGCGACCCAGGATTGGGTAATGGGCGACTATTCCGGGTCGGTGAAGGTGTTCTCCTTTCGGAGGGGACAGATTGGAGATCTTGAGATGCAGCTGCAGGAAATGGTTTATTAAACGTCGTAGCAATAATTGGTTTGTTTGTTGCAGATCCAGGCGGAGTTGAAGTCCCAGGAGATGAAGAGGCGAACGCAGCTAGATTAGGGACTCTCTGCATCACAGGAGGTAAGGTTGGAGGTTTCGCATTTGCGCCCGGTGAAGGTTGAGGTAAAGGTCTTCGTGTACTGGACGATGTCGGGGTAGCTGGGACTTTCGTGGGTGAGCCTTGAGCACTTAGAGGGCCCTGTGTGGGGTTAACAGAGGTCTGCACCTGCGGCCGCTGGGGCTGCGATGAAATTGGCGAGTGCCGTTGAATTGTCTGTTGGGGTGGGGGACGAATCTGGCTCTGTTGAGCCGGAATCTGGTTCACAGGATGAGTGTGCGATTGAACTTGTTGGGCTAATGAGGCCGAGGGTGATACTGGTGGGGGTCTGAACGTGCTCAAGGGCCTCGACACGGGCCCTGCAGGATTAGAAAGCGCGGACGGTGTGTGGTTTGGAAACGACGAAGTTGGTAAGTTATTTGGACTAAATATCGTCGATTGCTGCCCTTGAAGCGGCTGCGACTGGACTGGAGCATATTGCTGTTGGAGAGGAGGCTGCTGCTGATAAACAGGCTGAGCAGGAACATAAGGCGTTTGGTGAACCTGGTATGGCACTTGGGCCTGGATAAACGGGCTTGGTTGCGGTGGTGGTGGAGCAAACGGAGTTCTGGAAGGTAAGAACGGTGTGTGCGACGCCGTATAGGGCGCCTGCTGTTGTTGATATGGCGTCTGGGACGGCTGATAAGGTTGCTGATACTGGCCTGGTTGTTGGTTGGCGTACTGAGGTTGAGAAATTTGAAAACCTTGCCCTTGTGGCGATGGGTGAGCATAATTTGGATGGCCCTGGAGATGCTGTTGAGGTTGGGGTTTTCCTAGCTGCTGATAGATATTCTGAGGCTGCTGGTAAACCTGCTGGTACTGGGGCTGCGGTGGTTGAACCGGCTGGCTCTGCCCATGGTAATATCCACCATTCTGGGCCATATCTATATCTTTATCAATACCTTAGCAGCCAGCATAATATGGAACACTTACAAGAAGGATTTATACAGCGATGATGCTGTACCAAGCTTCAAAGCTCGAGATAACACTTGGATGTTGGGCGACAGACGCAAACCGTTGAACGCGATCATCTAAGGCACACGTGATAGGCTTTCGCCATCAACTCGCCCAAAAAGGCAGGAGCTTAGAAATTATTTCGAGAGATTATAAGTTGGTTATAAGAGGCCGTTTGTAAATGAGGATAAAACAGAGGTAGTTGCAGTATTTCAAACTTCCTCATTGTGGTACAGAATCGGGTATGGGCGGGAAAGAACGAAATACTTCCGTCCTCTGAATCTCTCTCTACTACCACTACAAGTGGTAGGTTTTCCACCATGTAGTATCTTCTCCTATCCAACTTGAGCTCCCGGTGGATTTCTGCCGCTATGATGCTCATAATATTATAAAATTATCTGATCTGCTGATCCCAAAATGACACTACTTCTTCGCTCCCATCCGTTCTCCTGTCGCAGACACAAAACTCAATACAACACCAATGACCACAGACCTTAGAAAGGTAAAAATCCAATATCCCTGCGGTTGAAATTGTAAACTGCACAAACTGACGAAGAGAAATGAGTGGTCACCAACGCAGAAAACGCGGTGAATTTGACTGTAGCACAGTAAGCAAGCCGACATCGTACAAGTAGATCATGCCAACGTACTTTCAAAGATGATTTTCAAAAGCAAGAAAATGAAAGTCGATACTCTAATACACCAGTCAGCGCCCTAAATTCTGGTTTAGATGTGCTGAGAGACTTACCGGGAGAGGACATGAGCCAACGTTTGCTGGACCCATGCCTGATACATAGATAAAGTCAGGCGTACTCCTCCGACAGTGACCAGACCATATCCTGGTCTGAGAATGGTTGGATTGTATCAATTTCGCTTTCGTTTAATTTAAGCTTACTGCTAACATCCATAGGTGTGAGCCACACTATTGAAGTTTTATAGTTAGGCGAGTAAAGCTGCCTCCTTAAGAGCTACTCATTTCCATTCTGTGCTTGACGATAGATGTCGAAGTCAAAAAATGACAAAGGTAGTGGAGAAGATCGCAATAGTGTAAATTTTTGAGCGCTTATATCCAACGTAGCTTCCACAATGCAGCAATGCTCCCAATTTGTGACACACCTAATAGTTGAAGCCATGGACTGTTCCGAAGGTCTGCGTCAAAGCAGTCGCGACAGACGTAACAGAGTTCCGGAGTTCCAGATGGAATCGACAAAATTAGCTCACCGAGCAATTTCAAGTAGCGCGGAAGTTGCCATCACTTCATCAATTGCCCTTGCAAGTAGGCTTCTTTGCGTTCCGAGTGATTTAAAATATAAATTTCTGAAGACCTCAATGATTTACAGCTGATACCACGACTCACAATAATTGATATAAGAGAGGAAACTACTAGCTAAAGCGAGACGACCGAAATTGACACCTATTTTAGCGACCATTTCTTCAACGTTGAGCACGATCTTGATCTTATCGGTGAATGAATCAAACTGTTGAACAGTAATTTATTAGGGCTCTCTTCGAGAAGACTTGGTCGGCGAGGGACTTTGCAGGAACGGCCATTATCAATTTTGTTGATTGATCTGTGTAACCATCTGGAACAAAGGCTTTTAGTATCAGACAAAATCGGCCGGAACACATCTGAGAAGAGCGTTTTTACGACACTTGAGGCTTGGACATCAGCAAAGCGTACGTATAGTTGTTATCAGGTTGAACAAGGCAACAAGCCGTCGTGGCGCAATGGTAGCGCGTTGCTTTCCTACTCAGAGAGTAAGGCAAAGGTTGCGAGTTCGATCCTCGCCGTCGGTTCTATTTTTGTTTGTCTTTGCTGAATTCCCTCTTCTCGTGGTAAACAACAGTACCTTTTGGCTTTGATCCTTCAAAAATGCTAAGAAATCACGATCACGTGTTTATATGCTATGAGTCGAAGGAAAGTTGGCACTTTGAGTCTGACCACAACTATATCACAGTATGACCGTCGAATCTATAAGCCCTGACACCACCATTCCATCTGCTGCAGAAAAGCCGAGCTCACAACCCAACGAAGCTAAACGGACGGCTTCCTCTGAGAATACTCGGCCGTCATCTACTCACCCTCAGGCTGGTCCAAACGTTACACGACCTGCTCGCGTCCAGCATGAGCTCTCAGTTTCAGAAGTCATTTCTCAGAAAAACACCGTTTTCGACAAAGATACATTGATTCTTCAACCGTATGTGGAAGAATTAGCCAAAAACGATCAGTTTGCTTCTGGTAAGCGAATATATGCACATTGTTATCTTACTTATCGCCTTCTTAGAGTTCAATGAGATGGCACTAGACCTGATACTCGAGTTCCATGCATGGTCTACTGCTAGGCGTCAGCAAGAACAGCATGTACACGAGTACGACCTTCAAGAGGACTTACAAAAGATCGAGAAGACGGAAACGGAACAAGGCATGTATACTTCTCTGCTTGAATGTAGCAGGGGTGAATCAAAGAAAGCAAGTGGCGTTGGCATTAGTTCCCCTCCCCTGCCTTCTTATGTTTGCTCGAGAAATCTGGGTACGCCTCATTTTCGTTGTTGGCACCCTGCATATATGCGCCGTCTTCGAAAAGCTTTAGTTTGCTACTTGACTTCCAACTATCGCGTGGATTAGCTCTTAAGACATAACATACTGACAGTTTTTGATTAGAAAACATGCGAAAGCAGATGGCAGAATATATGGAGCGCATGAAGGTCGCGCTGGCTGCTCTGACTGGCTTCAATCTTTAAATCGACGAATCCGGTTTCATCATTGTCGAACTTGCCCCACCACCCTCGTTATGCTTCGCTACTTCATGGTCTCTCATTGCATATATCTCAACACTCGCTCAGCCTCTGAAGCTTTTACTAGCAACCAAATGATTCTCTAATCTTCGGGCTGGCTTCTATTTTCTGCATGTCTTGCGACTGTCTAAGTTATGTTAATTACATCAACTCTACTTGCCGGGACTAGTCGACCAAACTTCAAGAACTAGTACTGCTCGAGCTGGCTTCTGTCGCTGGAGTATCGACGACGCGACCCCTCTTTGCCATGTCATCCAGCCCTTTCATTCTGATAATTTCTTCGATGATGCCAAAGGAGATTATAATCATATCATGGATTGCTTCCGACCCTGCCGACACGTACAGTGCATAAGGATCTCGACCGACTGCGGTTGCCGTCACCCATGCGATACGGTGTTCGTTATCCTCTGCAGCAACGAGCTATTCTGCGGCGTTAAAAAGCGCAAAATCAGATGTTATCTTGACTTGACGCACCAACAGACGCTCGTCTCGATTTGGGACTGCGCCGACTACCCAACAGCATTCGCCTATCGGCGTTTGCATCGTCCACTTCCTTCGACCTGCCACTTTGGTTTCCTTTAGCCAGTCCTTTGCTTTCATGGCCTTCCCGCTCAAGTGGTTGCTGAATTGAATTGAATTGAATCCGATTAGCGCATGCTTCACCGTGACCAAAACCTCTTCTTTGACTGAATGCACCGCACTCCCTGGCGCGCCTGTAGTCAAACAACGACTCACTGTCATCCTGTCTGCAGTGTTTTTCAGCCGCATGTACGGTTTCTTATTTCGGGTAATGGGGGTGTTCATAGGATCTTCTGGGTTTGTCAAGACGAGACGTGTTGCGCGTTCGGGATTAATGATGGCGAGTATGGACTCAACACCATCTTTGGCAGACATCATGGGAGTTAACAGTATGCATCTAACAATCTCTGTGGTTACTGTACTTATATCCAATCAAGGGGTCCATGTGGATCGAGGAGTCCAGAATAATGCAGCCGTGTGATGAGTAGTATTCATATCCATCCAAATAGGTACATACAGGGTCGATAACTATCGGGGTCGTGCGATATGAGAGCAGAATAATAAAGTACACTGTTTATAGTGTTGGTATGGTACAGTGGTTAATCTACTACAGTCGTTTATACAATATGATACAGCTTCTTGATGTCCATTGTCCAATATAGTAGTCCGATTTATTCAAGTAAGTTCTTGGCCGAGCGGGAAAGTACTCGGTTCATAGTTGGCCCTCTTAGACACCGCCACCAACCAGAGGAAGCGGAGGCAGCGCTTTTTCTGGACGATCCGGACGAGAGATTATAGATGACCTGGAGGAAAACAATCGCGTCCTAGCTGTAGGAAACTAATCGTGAATTTCGCTTTAGACTTCAGAAGGAGGTTGACTCACCGAGCGAGCCCGCATTCAGTTCGGAAAGAGTAAAAGAAAAGTGCTTATGCAGGCTGGGAGGCGTGGTTGACATTGTCTTTCTTCCTATCAGAAGGTTGACCAACAGCGTGATCACGTATATTCTTCCCATGATATTGACCAGGACATAGAAAACTTCAGAGTAGTTATTGTAGATGAGTACGATTAGACTTAATTGTACAGCGATCCACTCACCCCCAGACTTCGTGAAGAAGAGGACCAGTAGTATCAGTCGGACTAAACCTCCAATACCGCCACACGAGACTGCGTTCAAAAGAACGTCCCGAAAAGATCTACGCTCAAGTCATTCAGTGGGATAAAGGAAGTAGGTTAAATTTAGGCTTACCTCTCTCTCGGAAGAGATACTTTATATAATTGCCAAGACACCGCGAGCGGGATGACAGTATCAACTAACGATGCAAGTGCTGCCAAAATCCTGAACAGTGAGCAGTTTCATCAGCTTGATAATGGCGGCAGGGGAAGGAGCCAGCTACATGGAAGCTTTGTTTGCGAATCTTTCGAAATTTGGGTCGAGAGATGGTTGGGTGATTACGTAGAATCCAGAGTATAAACTAAGGATCGCCTGGAGAGCCAATAAATTCGTGATCAGTATAAGGTTATTTGCGAAAACGAAAGTTAAGCGGTGAAAATAACGAACATGTGCACCAATTAACAAGAGTAGTATTATTGTAATAGCAAAAGCTCTAGACCTGAGAAGAGAAAGAGGTGGAACGTCATTTTCAGTGCTTTCAGAAGAAAGTCGGATCTGTCTTACAATGCGTGGAATCGGCTAACCAGGAGTAGTTCTTGAGTCACCGCCAGAGTGGCCAGTAGGAATGTAGATAGCGGAACTGTCCAAAGGGAAGCTCGAGGATTGTAACCTGTGGAGATCTTGAGTAAGGTTGAACCAAATTGTGAACGAATGCAAACCTTGTTGGAGGTCGTCTTGAATGAGAACCTTGTGGACCGTGTGAGCTGTGGATTTTGGATGTTGGAAAATGACATACCACCCAAGCTGACGTGAATGTGGTGAGAAGGAGAAGACTATCTACGGCCATAATACCGTAGATGAGGCACTTCACAGATAACTTCGCAGTGTAATGAGATAAGTAGTAGACTGCAAGAATTATCTCCAATGTGAATAAGAGAGCATTGATCCATGATATTGCTAGGTGAGTCCTATCGGAGAAGTGTTAACGCATTTATCAACAAAAAATAGCAACGTCATTACGGACATTGCAAGTTCCAAGTTGAGGATCGGCATAGTGAAATTCAGGGCCCTTAGGTAGGTAAGACGAAGGATTATGGCCAATCACTAGCGAAGGGAAGAAAGCAAGAAAGGTTTATCTGAGTGTCGCGGAACGAATATATGGTGCCAAAGGTTGATAGCTGGTCTCCAAGTAGTTACAAGTTCGTAATACTGTTGCAGCGTTACCACTCTTGAGGGTCGTCTCCAGATTCCGCGACTGCCGCCAGAACGACGAAGACGAACTTCTTTCCTGAAGATTTTCTATGTCCGTCCGGAAGTTGTAGTAGTCTAAATGTATGTAATTATACAAAATGTCAGCTGAGACGAACCGAAGGTAGAGCGTGAGTGCGGTTTGCTGTATCTGGATGGCAGTCAGAGAAAGTTTGTTGGCAATCAAATCGAAGCCCGGGACATACCTCACTTACTAAACATTCGCTCGTTGATGCACCATCATCCATTGACGACACCAAAGAAAGTAACCTGGAAGTTTCAGCAAAAAAAGACTGAAGCCATACCCCGACGGAGCTGATGGCGCCAATGACGGTCGAAGGAGACAACGAGGATGGTTCGGTAGATATCCAAGGCCATGGCCCTGAATGGTCTACATGGCGACAATATGTGTGAGAAAACATGACGAGTGACCACCGAGAACCCCAGTTATGCTTTACTATTTCGTAGTTGGTTCAGGTGCTTCGCAGCCTTATTGAGGATCATTCAAGATATGGCATATTGCCAAGTAGGATAATGCAAAACTGAGAACGAGATTGGCAGAATTGTATAGGCTGTAGATATAAAGAGCGACATGATCAGCTCAGTCCAGTTTTCTTAGAAAACTAGTAGGGTTTCAGTATTTGTCTGCCAGTATCTTGATGATGTGGGCACAACGAAGGAAAGAGTTGTAATGTACCTGTGTTGCTCTGTTTGTACTATTATTACTTCTGGAAGGCTTTGGGAATGTGTGAGTTGCCAAAACCCACAGCCGTTACTCAATCCGCTGTCTTGGCCTGTGCTCTGAGTATAAGTCTCTCTCTGACCCTCTGCTAAGATGCGCCAGTACCCCGTGTCAGTAGCCTCACATTGCACCTGCCAGTTTTCTTCGATGCACGCTCTGGAGCTTACAAACAATGTCCTCAAAATGCCTGACAAAGCTGATCATCACCCTTGTATAAACGTATATAAATCATCGCAGATGTTAGCATCCGTGATGGCTTTGTCTTGAAATTCGGAGAAATCTGAATTGCAATAGGAAGGTGATGCACTCATCTTAGGAATTGCAAAGCAGTTGGAGAGACATGCAGCTTTAAAAAAACGGCGAAATGACAAAGTTTCGAT